CCAGCTACTCTGACCATTTTCTTTTTCTCACAGGGGAAGGATTAAAAGTTAAGGCCTTCATTAAGAACGATTCATCTCGTGAGATCAAGCCCAAATACTGCATATACCGGAAGCACAGCTTCTTTGCCCGGGGAAGGAGAAGAGTTCACACAAAAGACCTCATTAAAGAGGTTGGAAGACCCATCCCTCCTAAAGCCTCAGAAAACGTCACACAGGTCATCGCCATTCCTCAGGATGTGGAGCCCTCCATCCTCAACTGCAGCATCATCAAAGCAGAGCACAGACTCAGGGTTAGTATCAACATTAAAGATATTTGAATTGCCACAAAAGCTGTGTTGCAGAAGCCACGTGTCAACTCGATGCTTTTCAGCAACTCGTCTTATAATTTATGGTGCTTTTCCAAAGGCGGGTCTTATGTACCCAATACGTGAAGAAAAAACCAGGGCATAGTCTGATTAGTGCAGCTCATTCAAACGGAGCAGATAAACATTAACTGTAACTGTAATAACACCTGCATTTTCCAATTATCTAGAAATCACTTTTAATTATTTCAAGACAGTTTAAAGGCCAAGAGAAAGACAATGTGATTGCAGATGTCTTGTTTTTACTTTTAGAGATTTGGTACCTGTTTTCAAAAACCAGAGCATTTCATAGCCAAAACTCTAACTTTCTTTGATTCCAAAGTGTTAGATTTAAATGCTTTGAAATTTTCTTAGAAGCTGGTATCCATATTAAAAACAGCATCCCTCTCCCCAGGTCTACCTTAATGTGAAATACGCTTCAGACCCAGAGATCAAATTTGACATCATCATCCTGCCGGCCCATCAGGTCCCTGCTGTGGCAACAGCACCAACAGCTGCTTCTGACTTTGGAATCGGACCATTTGGGAGCTATGGAAATCCAAACCCTCCCGTATGGGGCTTTGGACCCCAACAACCACCACCGGCATATCAACCTGCTGGTCCTCCTCCTCCTTATGGGGCACATGGAATGTACCCTCCTCTGAATGAATTTGATCATAAATATTAAACACCTTTACTGTTGCTTCTAAAGAGGAGAAAGATAAAACCAAAAATGTATAGCAATTTTATGTAAACAGAACATTTATCACTGATTCTCTGTGCTTTCAATTTATATTTGGATAAAAATGTAAACTGCAGAGTGCCATGTCTTATAATAAATGTCTTTCTAATAGTAATTGATTTCAAGTTATTGTGCATTTGCAGTTTAATGAACAGATTCTAGTCATTTTTAACTACATTTTTTGCATCCATTTCCATGTGATTTTTTTCTTTCAGTTAGGAGCAACAGGACAGTCCAGGCTATGATTCAGTGTCTTCTTTCTTTATGAATGTATTTGTTCAATGACAAGCTAAAGTAACTT